CAGAATTTCGAATAAAATATGTTGGTGCCATTGAGAAACTGAAACTCTCTGAGGGAAAAGGTCTTGAAGGACCCTTGGACCTGATAAATTATATAGATGTTGCTCAGGTAAAAAAAAAAAAAAAAAATCCGTAACTCTCTGGTTATGAGAATCTGGGGAGCCAACTCGTGGCTTTGGGGGCAAGGTGCCCACTCTTCGGGTCCCCTGGGTGCCGCTCCCCTTGCTCTGAACTGGAACCCTCGCCCGCCATCACCACTGCAGGTGTGTGTGAGCTCTGAGCGGCAGAGGAGCACCGGCGCTGTTCCTTCCTTCAAACACAGTACTTTTTTTTTTTTTTTTTTTTTTTGAGATGGAGGTTTGCTCTTGTTGCTCAGGCTGGAGTGCAATGGCGCGATCTTGGCTCACTGCAACCTCTGCCTCCCGGGTTCAAGTGATTCTCCTGCCTCAGCCTCCTGAGTAGCTGGGATTACAGGCATGCGCCACCATGCCTGGCTAATTTTGTATTTTTAGTAGAGGCAGGGTTTCTCCATGTGGGTCAGGCTGGTTTTGAACTCCTGACCTCAGGTGATCCACACGCCTCAGCCTCCTAAAGTGCTGGGATTACAGGTGTGAGCCACCACGCCCAGCCCACAGTACTTTTTATTAATTTTTTTTTTTTTTGAGATGGCGTCTCACTCTGTCGCCCAGGCTGGAGTGCAGTGGTGCGATCTCGGCTCACTGCAACCTCTGCCTCCCAGGTTCAAGCAGTTCTCCTGCCTCAGCCTCCTGAGTAGCTGGGACTACACGCACACGCTGCCACGCCCGGCTAAATTTTTGTATTTTAGTAGAGACAGGGTTTCAGCAGGTTGTCCAGGCTGGTTGCAAACTCCTGACCTCAAGTGATCCGCCCCCCTCAGCTTCCCAGAAGTGCTGGGATTACAGGCATGAGCCACTGTGCCCGGCCTATTAATACTTTTTTATGGGGCTGATCGATCCTATTTAAACGAAGAGCTGATTGCAGTGATTGGTTATATTCCATAGGTTCTTTTAAAATAATCTGGCTAAACCTTACATACCACTATCAGACCAGTTCTGTGTCTGAATAATCTAATTCATAATGATGTCGACCAAACATATATGTTTATTCATTCGAGGCTTCCAACAAGAATTGAGGTGAGGTGCGTTTCAAAAAGATTACTTTTTATCTTCTTGATAAAAAGTAATCATCATGAAGGAAAATTAAGAATGAACATTAAGATAAATCAAAAGTATAAGGTATACAAGCATGAAATGTTATAAAATCTGTACCCTTGCCAATGGTGCAAGTAGATGAGCCAAGAGACTTAGTTAATTCAGTAATAAGAAAAAAAAGTAAATTGCTTCTGGAGTTTCTAGAAAATGAAATTACTTCTTTATATGCTCATTAACAGAGGGATATTACTGCAATAGAATGATTCTGTCATCTGTTCAGAGTATGAGTTAATCTTAAGATGTGTAAACTCTTAAGTCATGGAAAACAAGAACATGAAATAGAACGTGGCAGGGCCTGGTGGATCACGCCTGTAATCCCAAGACTTTGGGAGGCAGAGCTGCAGGGGAGGGATATCACTGGAACCCAGGAGTTTGAAACCAGCCTGGGAAACACAGCGAGACCTTGTTTCTCCAAAAGATTTTTAAAATTGCCGAGCACAGTGGCTCATGCCTATAATCGCAGCACTTTGCGAGGCCGAGGTGGGCAGATCACTTGAGGCCAGGAGATCAAGACCAGCCTGGCCAACATGGTGAAACCCCGTCTCTACTAAAAATACAAAAATTAGCTGGGTGTGGTGGCATGCGCCTATAGACCCAGCTACCTGGGAGGCTAAGGCTGCGCCGCTGCACTCCAGCCCTGGGTGATGCAGGGAGACTCTGTCTCAAACAAAACAAAACAAAATGAAAAACCAGCTTGGGCAAGACCTCCCTCTCTACAAAACATTTTAAAAACTCAACTGGGTGTGGTGTTGCGCACAGGTAGTCTCACATACTCAGAAGGCTGAGGCGGGGGATTCCTTGTGCCCAGGAGGTCAAGGTTGCAGTGAACCATCATTGTACCACTGCACTCCAGCCTGGGTGACAGAAGTGAGACTGTCCCCCCCAAAAAAACCAGAAATGAAGTGTCATGTCTTTATGAAAGTAAAGGAAGATACCTATCTGAAGGACATCAGTAATCTAAATTGCCATTTAAGAGAGAACTCGGCTGGGCATAGTGGCGTATGCCTGTAATCCTAGCACTTTGGGAGGCTGTGGTGGGTGGATCACTTGAGGTCAGGAGTTCAAGACCAGCGTGGCCAACGTGGTGAAACTCCATCTCTACTGAAAATACAAAAACTAGCCGGATGTGCTTGAACCCAGGAGGCAGACATTGCAATGAGCTGAGATCATGCCACTATACTACAGCCTGGGTGATAGAGTGATGTTGTCCCAAAAATAATTTTCTAAAAATTAAAAATATTTTTTAAAAAGGGGGGAAATGTTTCTTCTGCCTCTGTGGAGAGAAACTCTTTCCTGGCTAATGTGTGTACCCCAGATTATTTTTTTTTGTATGTGTGAATTTGTTTTTAGTGGGGAACAGGACACAGGGTGGGAAATGTCACCTTGGGCCATGGTACGCCCCGCCTCCCAGAGAATGTCCATTTGCATTCTAATCTTCCTGGGCTGCTTTATGGAACGTTTTCTTCTTCTCGGAGCTGCTGTTACTGCCAGCAGCCTCTTCAGGTCCACTGCTGACTGGCTCCTCTTGGGAGAATTTCCTTTTTCTTGGAGACGCTTATGTTGCCTGCCTCTTCAGGGTCATTAACTGTTTCCTCCTTGGGTGATGATTTCTTCCTCTTGGGAAGACTGGTACCCCACATTCTTTAAAGGGTTTGGGCTTGTGATGGCCAGATACTAAAAGTGACTAGTCAGACTTAAGACTATAACATAATATTAATCTTTATCATGTAATTTATTTTTACTTTAAAGCAAGATGGAAAGTTGCCTTTTGTTCCTCCGGAGGAAGAGTTTATTATGGGAGTTTCCAAGTATGGCATAAAAGTATCAACTTCAGATCAATATGTAAGTAATATAATTTATTAAGAAAAAATGTATTTTGGATAATAGGGATTTCAGGCCATTAAGAGCCCCCTTATAATTAAGGCTACTCCTGTTTGCAGTGATTGGTTTGTAAACATTCCTGGTGGTCTTAAACCTGACCAATTTCTTAGGGTGAGTAGGGACTTCCTTTCTCTCCTGTGTTGGAAGGGCACATGCAACCAGCCCCGTCCCCAGCTCCAAAAATGATGGCTCCAAATGCATTTTCAACTAAGGTCAGTTAAGAGCAGATGTCAGCTCGGAAGGTGGGCACAGACACTGGGATAGTCAGTTTAGACCCCTCCACTCCTGTCTTGTGGGATTTAAGTAGGAAGGCACGATCCTGAAGGGAGATGGCCCAACAACAGCATACAGGAACATCCTTGGGGTGGGAAACCTGTTTAAAGCCTCACTCTGTCTGGGAGGGTGTGTCATAGGACTAACAGACATTTAAGAGTTCTGATCTGTTGGAATTTTCCTGACGTCTGCAGGATGTTTTGCACAGGCATGCTCTCTACTTAATAATCCGGATGGTGTGTTACGATGACGGTCTAGGGGCAGGAAAAAGCTTACTGGCTCTGAAGACCACAGATGCAAGCAATGAAGAATACAGCCTGTGGGTTTATCAGTGCAACAGCCTGGTGAGACTCTGTTACCCTGAAACTTTGGTTTCATCAAGTTGCAAAACCCAGGGACTGTTTTTGAGGGCTGGAGAAATACAATCCATTCTAGATGGAGTATCTGGCCTAGGGATAGTTTCGTGGAGCTGAGGTCAGCCGGCTGGCCAGACGTAGTACAGGTTTGTGAACTATTTCTGTTAGGGCCAGTGGCAGCACTCGTGCCTGGATTTAAAGGTTTAAGGCAAATAAAGCAGCTGAGGAAAAGTGTATCCTCTAGGGACTAAAGGTTCCCTCCATTTCTGAATGTTGTTGCCCTCCTAGACTGCGTGATCAGCCTTCTCAGGCTGCAGTAGCTGTCTTTGCTCTTCTCAAGGAGGGCAGAAAGGGCCCACGTGCAGGGAGGCTCACAGGATGGGTTCCACTGAGCCAGGCAGGCATGCGTTGTTGACTTTCCAGTAGTGTTGATTATAGCCTTACGAGAGGTCCTAAGAGGGTCAGGTGTAAGCCTCTGCTAGCCAAATTAAGTTCAGGAAAAGATCGATGAATGCTACTCTTACTATATCTTTTCATGTAATGTAGGAACAAGCACAAGCCATTTGCAAGGTTTTATCCACTGCTTTTGACTCTGTATTAACATCTGAGAAACCTTGAATCCTGCCATCAAGTAGAAGTCAACTTCATCTGAAAGTTCAGTTGTTTTCAATCTGCAATACTGAACTGTTATGGAAATAATGAAGTCATCCCTTGCTCTGGATTTTCTGAAGAAAATGCATTGTGTAAAATGCTGATCATTTGTTTATTAAAATGTGTCACATTACACAGTGAGTTAACTCTCAATGTAGTCATACTTTCTGGGATAAAAAGCCTCATTTGTCTTTTTCTAATTCAAATAAGCTTAACCTAAGTGTCACAGAAGCCTAGGTGTCACAGAGGTCCACTGAGGGCCCGAGGAAGACTGATGGCGTGTTCAGTAGTGGCTTCCCAGTGATGTGGTATCACTGGCATGGACCTCTGTCTGGCAGAGGTGTGGACTGGGGACCTGGATTCATGCTGGTTTGGAACAGTGACATTGCCAACGTAAGACACATAAAGTAGGTTTTCGGAAGTGTCCCAGTCAAGGTAACATGCTGGCAAACCACAATGCTTCTCTTAGAGTTAACCTTAAAAGATACTGCTCATGCTTAGTAGTACGCAAAGGATCACACGTACAGTGATATGGTACTTTTTTTTTTTTTTTTTTAAAAAGGACTGTCAATATACAAAACTTTAAAGATTAAAAACATTAAAACCATGTCCATTTAAAAGGATTTTATTTTTTTTCTAGTCAAATGACTAGTTAACAAGAGTAAACTTATTAAACATGCTCTAATTATAAATCACTGCATTAAGGACAATGAAAATAATTTTGGTTATACAATATATACAAGTTGTGCTGCAGCCAGACCAAAGTAATCAGGTGAATGAACTGATTATCATACATCTCAAAACAGCATCCACCCCTTAACAGATCACACAGGAACTATTAGTCTGGGCGCATACTTCTGAGTCGTCATTCCTAGATTTGATGGAGCATGGCATGCAAAATGCCAGAATCCTGCTGCTGAAGTTCATGAAACGTAAACTTTAAATATAAATAGATATCTACAATGCTTTCCTTTCTCTCAGTTGCTTTTTTTTTTTTTTTAATTTGCAAAGAGCAAATAACTAAGAGGCTATTAGCAGGGTCATTAATATAATTTCTCCTCTGGTAAGAGTACTATTAGTTACTGCACAATAGCACCAGATTGTAGACTGGAAAAATATTTCCTAGATATTTATGTACCAGTGAACCTGATAGATTAATTTGGGACTAGAGTTCAAATGTTGATGTGAATCAACTTTATTCTTTATATAGCCGGCACCAGGCGGTCAAAAGGCTGACTATAAATACAGATGGAGGAGGATTGTTAAAATAGACATAAGTGCACTGTGCAAAATACATCTGTTTACTTTCTTAAATCTATGAAAAACTTAAGGGTTCAAACAACAGAAATGAACAATTAGTGAAAACAGATGTAGTGCTTAAAAAAAAAAAAAAAGACTTTAATTACAGATCTAACACATTTTTGCCTGGAACTTTGAAAGGCAAAAAGCGATTGCTATACAACATCATAAAACATTCCAGTTTGTTCTGTGTTCCTTTATAACAACAACAAAAAGTACAGTGCCAAAACAAAACAAAAACCCTCTACACGTAAAGAGTCTTGCATAATAAAGACAGGCTGCCTCAATCAAATGTACCATCGAAACGAATGCAGTAACAGCATTGCTGCCTCACTCTCCAAGCCTATACTCAGATTTATTCCTTTCCTTTTGTTCAGAGTCCAAGTGGGTATCATATGCCTATTTATTCTCAGAGTGCCAAAATTTCCAATATTCCTACCCTGAATCTTACCTTCACAATTACTAAACAGAGGTATGACAGTCAAGTTCATTAAACTAATGAGTTTTGATTTTATAGTATACAACCTAATCCCCCTCCCCCCACTACTGCCCCATTTAGCTTAAGAATGATATGATGGCCTTAAATAGTAAAAACTGGGATGTTTGGGAGTATTTTATTATCTGGGATCTATAGATTTCTGATATGTTCTTGATTATAAACAGATGGACAGATTAAATTTCAAGACAGTGTGACTACCATTCCTGTTGGAATATTATATAAATACAGGATACTAAACTGAGTAAACATTCTCATGGGCTAGAAGAAGGGAAGGCAGTGGTACACTCAATAGGAAACAGCAAGTGATGTGTTAATTTATTGTGGTCTGTGCCACAGAATTCTGTTGGGTACACAGTTGCTTTCTGTGTGATTCAGGAAGTTCAAGAAAGCAAATTCCAAAACACCTAAAGCATATCAACTAATTTAAAAGAACTGTTTTGCAATCCATCATCCTTAGTTTTTAACCAAATTCAGGAAATGCAGTTTTATATAACCTGGAACGGAATGAACTGTAGTTACCCTACGTTGTCATAAACCGTCAGTAGTTTTGTTAAGTATGACTGTTCACAACAGGTTATACACACATGCAGAGTATAATGATAGCCGCAATCTCACAAATCAGGGCTAGAAAGCACAATGCTAATGTGTAAATTTCCAAGTTGCTTTTTAAACAAACAGTGGGTGGATTTCAAAGGAATATGTGTCTTTAAAGGTGAACTGATGGCATTTTATCGAGAAAGCCCAGGGCTGGGCTATGGACTTCTGAAGCAGCAGCTGACTCCTAAAGTAACTGTGCTAAAGGTCACCAACTCCAGAATCGGGCCAAGGAATGCAGGAAGAATTTATTTCCAATACACACAATGCAAACATTTTTAGGTTTAGCTAATTCTGTAGAGGCAGGATCTTAATTATGTATAATAGTTCAAATAACTTTTCAGTTCACCTGTTGGGAAATTCAGTTTTTCCTAATAAATGCATAGCAGTGTTTCATGAAAATGATAAATTATAAAAACAATTACTGATATGTAAAAATTGCCTCTGAGTTTTTAAAACAGAGCAGCGGCATTAGAGAACATGGGCTACCATACAAACAGTTCATGAAACTGGTTATCTGCAAGAGTTTTGGTACCAATAACGAAATAGGAACATAACTGTTAATGCTTTTGTTCAGTAGCAATTCAGTCAGCGATAAAGTGCACAAATGACACTGGGAACGCGCCTTTGCGACCAGGATCTCCATCAATGTGGCCAATCTGAAACGGAGAAAAGTGTAGGTTGTTACTAAAATTCCAAGCGTTGGTGGAAACTTTGAAGGGCATGTTCAGAAGACTCTTCTACAAGGTATTACTTGGGCAAAACATCCAAACGACTTTTTTCTTTTTCTCCTCACCACATTTCAAATAGTGCTGGCCTCTCCTGTGTAAGGAGCTCTTCCCAGCCATGTCTCAGATGTTCACTCATGGGGATGGCCGCCACCACCTGTTCTTGGGAGGCACACAGGTCAGCTGTCTGACCATTACTCCCCACTTGCCTTTTCTGAATGAATGAATGAATGAATGAATGAATGAAGAAACTGAGTGTCACAAGTTTGTGAGCTGCAAAGTCACCGGAAGTGGCAAAGGTAAGTTGGCCCCATTTCAACAAGTCAAGCACTTGTGGAAGTCTCCACTCTATCCACTGATGTTTGCTCTGGGTAGATACATAAATTATATCCAAGTATGATCTCGAGAGTGCAAATGACATAGGCAAATAAAAGGCTAAAAACAGCCAAAATATGAATGGTGGGCTTTTTGTGGAGCAGATAGGGGGCGCTGTGGTTTGAGCAACTTCTGTTTTCTGTATATGCCTCTATTTTCCAGTTTTGGAAATGAGCAGGTACTTTGCACGTGGCTAAGCCTGTAGTGAGGTTGGCGCACCGTCTGGATAGTGGGTTGGAGGCAACTGTGGGAGCTGGGTGGGCGGGCTCCCTGTGCAGGTGGGTCTGGCTGGTGTGTGGATGGTCAGAGGGAGGGTAGGTTCAGGTCCTCATGGGCTCTGTGCAGCCAAGCTGGGCACTCTCCTCACTGGAGCCCAGATGCTGTGGCCCACTCTGAGTCCATGCTATAGTGAGGCTGATGGTGGGAACTCCCAATCCACAAACACTATTGATTGACTGATTGACTGATAGATTCAGTCTGGCAGAGACGGAGTCTGGCTGTGTTGCCCAGGCTGGAGTGCAGTGGTGAGATCTTGGTTCACTGCAACCTCTACTTCAGGGGTTCAAATGTGTCTCCTGCCTCAACCTCCCAAGTAGCTGGGATTACAGATGCCTGCCACCATACCTGGCTAATTTTTTGTATTTTTAGTAGAGAACTATATTGGCCAAGCTGGTCTCGAACTCCTGACCTCAAGTGTTCTGCCTGCCTCAGCCTCCCAAAGTGCTGGGATTACAGGTGTGAGCCACCATGCCCAGTTCACAGACACTTTTACTCTATTAAGGGCAAACAAAGCCACAGGTAAGACCGATGAACCCAGCCCTGCCAGATGAAGGCAGTGCTGCCTGGCCTGAGAGCTCCCAGCACCTCTGGAGGCTGAAAACGTGCAGTTTCAACACTAGTGGGAGCTCTGCGAGGGACAGTGATTAAAGATTGCATCAAAACTCCTTGCACTTGAGAGAGCAGTTCCCCCGAATCCTGTGAGGTCCCAGCTGAACTGTCCACTTTGAGCTCAGGTGTGGAGCTGTGCCACTTGTGTCTGCTGTGTAGCAGGCTCTGCCTGGGGCTTTCTGTCGGCGCCTCATTCAAGCCAGTTCATCCATCGCCCTCACTGTATGCAGCTGCAGCTCAGTGGGTGCTCACCGGATCATCTGCACAGACTGTGTGTGACCTCCCTTTCACAGATGATCTCACTAAAGCTTAAAGATAAAAGCAACCTGGCCCAGGTCCCCAGCCTCTGAGTGGCCAAGCCTGAATTCTTAAGTGGCCGGCACTCATCTTGCTCCCACACCCTGCTGGACACCTGGGAAGCCACAGATCATTTCAGGAGCCGATTCACACTGGGGCTCTGTGCTCTAAGTCAGCTCTTTCCAGACACCTGATTCCACCAATCCAGCAATGGGGGGTGATGACCTAGAAACTCAAGGCCTCAAAATGAAGAAGTCTCATTTCAAGCCCTCGTGTGTGCTCTGGAAACTGCACCCTAACAGGGAAGGAAGCCACCCTGGGAAATAATCAGGCCTGCTCAGAGGTGGGTGTCCATGGAGGAAGCAACTCCTGAGGATGCTCAGGGGCAGAGGCACCAGGAACCAGGTCTGGACTGCTCAGGCCGAGGGAACCTCACCTGTGAGCAATCTCTCTAGCCAGGTGGGCAGGGACGTGGCTCAGCCCCCAGGAACCTCCCGGGCCCACCCTTGACTCACCCACCATTCCTGGTCTTCCTCCCCATCCACGATGATCACATCCCCCTCGGAGAAGGTTAGCTCATCAGGGTTGTCAGCCACGCAGTTATAAAGCGCTTTTACTCGCTTAGGCTTCAACTTGCTCTGTGTCAGGAGAGGGAACAAAGGCTAGTGTGGCTGGAGGCCTCGGCTCTCAGGGCAGAGAACTGAAGCACCCTGCCTTTCCCAGTCTCAGGAGTCCTGTACCCAGGCCTGAGAAGCCCGCAGATGCCAAGGCAGGGCAGGTCAGTGTGGCTCACGTGCCAGGGAGAGAAAAGGGAAGAGCTCCCCCGTAAGCAGAGAGCAGGGGCTGGGCCAAAGGCTGAGAAATGAAGAGTGGCTAGGACAGGGTGCTCTCAGTGGGCCCGTCCTGGAGCTGCGGTGGGAGGGCCAAACCCACCAGCTGCTGGGATCCAAGCAATCAGGTATCAAGAAGACCCCCACCCTGCGCCGACCAAGTGAAGAGGGGAAGGCTTGTTTCCCTGGGCCCTTGTGAAACCACCTGCACCCTTCTGGCTAGAGCAGAGGAGCAGGAAAGGGGGCTCGTCACTTACTGCCTGTGACTTCCTAGGCATGGGTGCAGGGGGCTGCAGGACCACGGCATTGGACAGAGGACCCAGAGCTTCTGCTACAGAGAGATCCACTGTAGAGCAAAAATGAAGCAACTTGAGACATCCCATCAATCATAACCATGAGACTTAACGTACAAGCCACAGGGTGTGCCTGAAAGCAGAATTCCCCAGGTGTTCCAATCTGTTGATTGAAAAAGGGAACCTTCTGCCTTGGATGCAGCCCTTGTAGAGCCCGTGAGGCAGCAAGTGTCCCCCAGTCAGCTGGGTGTAGCTGGGGCCTCCCCAGCCCCCCATGTCGGCAGGAGGGGACAGGGTTAGGGGCCCCAGGACTGAGCTGCTCAGAAGCAGGGGTCTCAGAGGCTGAGGGAGGAAGGCAGAGGAGGAGGGGGAGAGGAGGGGAGGGGTGGGGGGGAGGGCAGCAGGAGGGAGAGGGGAAGAGGGCAGGAGGGCAGTGGAATGGTGGACAGCTGGGCCCGCCCTCAGGCCTGACCACCTGGCAGGGAACGTCCCCCACGCTGCCCGCCATGGAACAAGCAGAAACAAATTCAGTCCCACATTAAATAATTACCAGGTCCTCTTGGTTGGCCTTTGTTGGTCAGTGGGGTGGACTTGTCAGCCCTACAAAAACAGGGAAAAGGTAGATTTATTGCTACCTGAGGGTACCTGCCCCTATCTCGTCCCCTTTTAAATTCTGAGTTTGAGATGAAAATGTGAGAGTGATTTCCTCCACTGTCACTCAGCTCTCTTTTTTTTTATGGGAAAAGGATGAATGAGAGGCCCTGAGGAAAGTGCTAGATCCAAATTTCTGATCCTCAAACCAGGGCTTTTCCCAAGCACTCTGTCCATGTGAGCCTGCCGCTGATGGCCAGGGTCTGGAGTGATGCTGGGCACTGGCCCCGCCCTGAGTCTGCTCAGCTCCCTCCCTGCCTCAGTCCCATCACATGAAAGGGTGGAGCTGAACCTTAACCTCAGGCCCAGATGGCTCTGCCAGGACAGGTCTGAGCACCTTGGGCCAGTGCTGTCCATGCCTGTGGTCCCTGTTTCTGGGAACTAATGTGGCTAACCACAGGCTCAGGCCACATCCATGAGCCTCTGGGCCAGAGTGCCCCAAAGCCACAAGGTAGAAACGACGAGTGAGGAGGTGGTTCTCAGGGCTGGCAGACAGGGCTCCATCAGCTCAAGCCTGCTGTCTGGCAGCCCTGGATGAATGGGTTCTGGAGAGTCGGCATTTTCATCTGTGAAAGGTGTGACACAGATCCGACAACACCAGAACCAAGGACCAGAGCTGTAGATGAGGGGCTCTGGCTTCAGTTAACTGGTGGATCTCCTGGACCTAGCATGAAGCCAGGCACAGGGGGCTCGAGAAGCAGAAGAGGAAGACCAGGGAAGAAGCGAGGGCAAGGATGGGATTCATTCCACTGTCAGACGCTCCCTTTGCTGCTCGGAATGAACCCCGTCTGGCCTCGTTGCTTGCAGTCTCAGAATGAAGGGAGAGAAAACATCACATTGGTTTTGCTCATACTTTCAAGGAACTGAAAAGGCATAAAACACACACCCTCCTTTTTGACCAGTCTGGCCATTTGTTTTCCATCCATGTCTCTGGGTGTAAATGTCTCTATAGACATCATTCCCCTGACCTGGCTGACCCACTGGTCCGCAGTCATCCCTAACTACAGAACACTCACAGGAATGGCCTGATCCTCACTTTTTCTTTAGAAGAGGCAGACGGTAAACTTTTTAGGTTTAATGGTTTTTCTTTTCTTTCCTTTTTTTTTTTTTTGGAGATGGAGTCTCACTGTTGCCCAGGCTGGATTGCAGTGGCGTGATCTTGGTTCATTGCAACCTCTGCCTCCTGGGTTCAAGCAATTCTTCTGCCTCAGCCTCCTGAGTAGCTGGAATGACAGGCATGCGCCACCATGCACGGCAAATTTTTTGTATTTTTAGTAGAGACGGGGTTTCACCATGTTGGCCAGGCTGGTCTTGAACTCCCAGGCTGGTCTTGAACTCTTAAGTGATCTGCCCGCCTTAGTTTGTAATCCCAAGGTGCAGGCACTGCAGGCGTGAGCCACCGTGCCTGGCCTTTGTTTTTGGGTCAGAGTCCTGCTCTATTACCTAGACTCAAGTGCCTGGTAATAGTTCATAATTCACAGTTCACTGCAGCCTTGAACTCCTGGGGTCAAGTGATCCTCCCACCTCAGCCTCCTGATTAGTTGGGACTAGAGGTGCACATCATCAAGCTTGGCTAACTTTGAAAATTTTTCGTAAAGACATGGTCTCACTATGTTGTCCAGGCTGGTCTCAAATTCTTAGTCTCAGCCTCTAAAGCTCGGAGACTACAGGTGTGTGCCACTGTGGCCAGATGGCTTTGTGGATTCTACCATCTCTGTCACAATTATTCAACTCTGCCACTGTGGCAGAGTGGCACAGAAAGCAGCCCCAGGCTGCATAAACAAATGGTGTGGCTAATGTTCCAATAATATTTTATGAGCACTTAAGTGAATCTCACATGATTTTCATGTGCCATAAAATATCCTTTTGATTTTTTTTCAACCAATTACAAATATAAAAGCTATTCTTAGTTCTTAGTTCATGGGCCACAGAAAACAGGCGGCAGGTTGGATTTGGCCTGTGAGCCATAGTTTGCTGACTCCTACTCTAAGAGAACAGGTGTGAAAATTCACATTTATACCAGAAACAAAATGACTGACATGGTGGAGGGATACTATCCTGTACAAAGAGGCTGTGCCAGTGTATTCCTTCAGAGTCGGAACCCCGCCAGGCACTGAAAACATGATTCCATCCATCCTCCTCTGTCCTGGCCATCTCTCACCTCGCCTGCCCTGCTTCCCTCTTTCCTGACAGTCAGATCTGAAACCAGGTAAAATTGTGTTCAAGACGAAACTCGTCCAACTCCCCCTAGCCAGACTTCTGACTGCTCCTTAGCCAGAACTTCAACACATGATTTGGTCTCTTGAAAAACAGCAGCTTGGCCAGGCATGGTGGCTCACGCCTGTAATCCAAGCACTTTGGAAGCCAAGGCGGGCGGATCACCTGAGGTCGGGAGTTCAAGACTGGCCTGACCAACATGGTGAAACCCTGTCTTTTAAAAAAAAAAAAAAGAAGAAGAAGAAAAAAAAGAAAAAGAAAAACAGCAGCTTGGAGAGTACAAATCCCAAGGAGTCATAAGGGAAGGCAGAAGAGCCCAGAAGCTGAGAGAAACGCAGCCTATGGCCATTTTGGTGGAGAGGCAGAAACAATTGGCACTGGAAAGCATTTATTACAGCATAATTCAGCAGCTGTTAAAGAGTGGGATGGCACACGTACGCATGTTATATTTTATTTTTATTTTTTTGAGACGGAGTCTGGTCTCCGCTCACTGCAACCTCTGTCTCCTTGGTTCAAGTGATTCTCCTGCCTCAGCCTTGAAGTAGCTGAGATTACAGGTATGCGTCACTATACCTGGCTAATGTTTGTATTTTTAGTAGAGATGGGGTTTTGCCATGTTGGCCAGGCTGGTCTTGAACTCCTGGCTTCAAGTGATCCACCCACCTTGAACTCCCAAAATGCTGAGATTACAGGTGTGAGCCACTGTGCCTGGCCCTGCAGGTTATATTTTAGAAAGTTATCTTGCAAAGTAGCATTTAAAAAGTTCTGGTAGTCTTCTGGTTAAAAATGGCAGATTTAAATGCATTTACTTCTACTTCCTAAGGAAAAGGATCTTTAAAAATTAAACCTAAAAGAGGTCAGGCAGGGTGCCTCATGCCTGTAATCCCAGCATTTTGAAAGGCCAAGGTGGGAGGACTGCTTGAGCTCAGGAGTTCAAGACCAGCCTGGGCAACATAAGGAGACCCTCATCTTAACAAAATATAAAAATAAATTAACTGGCCATGGTGGTGCATGCCTGTAGTTCTAGCTGTACAGAGGCTGAGGTGGGAGGGTCACTTGAGCCCAGGAGGTCGAGGCTGTAATGAACTGTGATCGCACCACTGTACTCCAGCCTAGGTGACAGAGCAAAACATAAATCACAGTCAACCTAGTTCATCTCAGGAATGGAATCCCAGTCCAGCAGTGAGGAAGGTCTTGAAATACTCCTATCTGTTGTGTAGTATCCCCAAAAGGCTCAGGACCCTCTGGAAGGAGAGAAAGGCAATAAGCAGAAGAATTAGCCAAAAATCTGTTTCAGGAGCTCCTGAATCCCTGGAATCTTGCCCCAGCTCTGAATAGCCTTAGCCACTGCCCTGCCCAACCTTCTATGGACAGGAGGCTTCTATTCTTGGAGAGGCAAAATGGAGGCGTCTGAAAGGGGGGTACCAGGTGCAGCTGTTGGGAGTATCCTGAAAAACAGAGGGACTAAGTACAAGTTTAACTTTGCTTCTCTGCTCCTAAAAAACCTCAGACAAGAGACGAGAGGCCCAGCCACATCACTACACCGTGCAGTCGGCCGGTTTTTAATGCCTCACCTGGAGGAGAAACACGGAACATTCGGTTTATGGGGAAAGCCTGGAACCCACGGAGGTCAGACAGTGTGCAGGCAACACACTCTGCATGAATGTGAAAACCGTAACACACCGCGACCATTCTCAGAGCAAGGAGACTGAGAAATGACCTCAGGAAACAAAAAGAATGCCTCTACAGAAAGAGTTTAACTTGAGTATTATTGTATGAGAACAGGCATGAAAGCCTCAGTAAAAGAACTGGGAGATGAACTCCAGAAAATCTCCCAGAAGGTAGATTTTCAAAGCAGGCAGGCAAGCAAAGCAGGAATGGCTGTGAGAAGGTGGTGGAGGGCTAGCTGAGGGTGACAGATTGGCTCCCCTGCCGCGGGTGGCACTTCCAGCCCCAGCCTGGAAGGAGGGAGCAAGTGTGAGCATCCAGCCTTCCCTCCTCAGCAACTCTTTCCCCTCAGAAGTAACTCAGGGGCTCAGGAGACAGATGGTGGAGTCAGAAGAGAGGAGGGTCTGGGTCTACCTTTGGGACTGGGGTACAACCCAACACGCACGCTAAACTTAGTGTGGGCAGGAAGCTAACTCCCACATGTGAAAGCACAGCGATGCTGAGGTCTGTTAGCGCACTTAGGATACTCCAACAGACAAGATGATACATTTAGAAGAAAGGCCAAGGGGTCTGAGACCTGAGGAGTAAGAAATATAAAAAGAACAACAAAAAACCCTCTAATATTGAAGGCATTAAAAAAAATCAGTGAAATTTCTCCAAATAGAAGGGCGTGGTGTGTACTTTGAAAGGCTCTGTCGTCTGTCTGGCAGCGTGGATGAAAACACCCACACTGGAAAGTCAGAGGGTTCAGGGGACTGGGGAAGCGCGTATTTTTAGTAGAGATGGGATTTTGCCATGTTGGCCAGGCTAGTCTCAATCTCCTAACCTCAGGTGATCTGCCTGCCTCAGCCTCCCAAAGTGCTGAGATTACAGGTGTGAGCCGCTGCGCCTGGCCCCAAATTCTTTGAGAGGTGGAGCTGATGACTTCCTGTGCCACTCCACAGCCCTCTCTGCCCTGACTGTGTCTGAGCTTGTAACTGTTTGAGCAGTAACATATGGCAGAAGTCATGCCGCGCCAGCTTCCAGGGCCAGGCCTCTCTCTGGGGACCTGTCCTTGGACCCAGCCACCATAATGTGAGGAAGCTCACGCCAGGGATGCATAGGATTTCCAGTTACAGCCCAGTGGAGGCTCCAGCTGACAGGCAGTGTCAGTTACCACAGGGTGGGATGATGAGGGTCCGACTGTGCCCCCCAGTCAACGAGTCACCGTGTGTCCAAACACCCCCAGGCTTTGAGTCCATTCAGCAAAGGCCCCAGATACTGTGGAGCAAGACAAAAACCTCATAGTGCCATCCAAACTCCTGACCATCTGTCAGCAGAATAAAATGGCTGTGCCTCGTGTCTGTCAGTTTGGTGCAGTTTGTTACCAGAACAATTGAAATTAGAGACGTCAGTGTGAACTCATGGATTTCAATACAGAAAGATATGGAATAGAGAAATAAGTGGTATATGTATGCATCCATGTACGTGTGTGTACATTTCTAAGTTCTAACAGCTCAGAGTTCCTGTGTGGGAGCAGTGACTCTCCACCTAGCCCCCAGAACTTAGCCTCTAAATATCATTTCCACTAAAAGGAACCATTTCCCACCACAAAGAAACAGATTAAGAGCCACGAACTGGATCCATCTGCAACAAAGAGCATTATTTGGACAACTTGGACAAACAGCTGAGCTTGAACTGGGCCTAAGGATTGGGTGGTGGTTCCACCTCCGTGTTAACTTCCTGATTTTCCAGGTGGTATTGTGCTATGTAGGAGAATGTCCTTGCTTGTGGGAAATCCGTGCTTCACACCACAGAGGGTCTATGTGTTCAAAACAACCTTGGGAAAACAGAAAGAAAACAGACAGAGACAATCCCGGGGGTGAGCATCAAATGGAACCCAGAAGCCTCGTGTGTTGAGCACACTTTGTCTAAATTCATTCTGTGGACTCAAAATGTATGTTTGTAAGACATTTTCACAGTTTAAAAATCCCTCAGTTACTTTTAAGACTCTTCAGACCCGATTAATTAGTTACGTGACACCAGTGTTGAGGTAGGAACACTGGGGATTGCAAATGTCCCTCCAGACCCCTTGGCAGGTGAGGTCAGAGGGCAGGTGCACGGATGGCCAAGCTGGCCAGCTGTGGCTTACCCCAGCCCAGGCTTCTTCTGTGGGAGGCGGCTGGGCGGCTGTGGGGGCAGAGGTGGGGGCCTGCTCTGTGAGACCCCAGGCGGGGCAGGCTTGTTTGGCTGGCTCAAGGCTTCCATCATGCTGGGCGTCTTGGCAACGGGAGGGGGTGGCGTGGGGGTCAGGGGATCTGCGGAGAGAAAAGGAGAGATGTGCAGAGGGTCACCCATGGAGCTTCCCACTCAGACCTCCTCACCGGAGGCTTTTCTGATAATGGCTTCATTTTTCTATTGCTATTTCATAAGGAAAAACCTACTGCTATTTCCTTGTTGGTTTTCAGAAAACTGTATTAGCAGGGAGTCCTTTCCAAACTAATAAGGATGCTTCGAGCCTAAAGTTAGGATGACAATTTCTATTAGCCTGTGAGTGAGTATTTTCTCAGCTAGAACTCCCTGTGGGAAAGCCAGCAGTTTCCTGCTCTAGACTCTGAGACCCAACTGCAGGAGGCCGGGTCCTTGGCTCTGCCCGGGGAAGCAGAGCCTGCTTTGCACCTCGACTGGCCTGTGGACAAAAGGACGAGGCCCTATCCACTTATCAGACTGCTGGGCAGGGTGGAGCTGAGGAGAGATCGGGAGCTATTAACTTTAATAACAGCTCCTCAGTCTGCAGAGTGGGTGGGGGAAAAGTTATTACTGTCTACGTTTTACAGAAAAGGAGGCTCAGGCCCCCAGAGGGGAGGAGCTCTTGCCAAGGGTGGTAAAAGCTGGTAAGACCTGGAGAGAGGCTGTGAGCCCAAGTCTCCTTCCTCCATTTCTCCTCCCTCCGATGGGCATTAAGCCCTCTCTAAACGTCAGGCTTATCATCCTGGGCCTCTTTGGAGGCAGCCGCCTGCTCAGGATGGGTAACACATAAGGCGCTGGGTTTCTCTCTGCCAGGAAAAGCCAGGAAGGATGAGGCCTTCAGCGGAACAAAGAGGAAACCTGGGGTAGGAAAATGAAGGGATCCAGCTTATGGTTTTTCTTTTTTTCCATTATTGTTTCCTTTTTCCAATTTAAAGGAAAAGTCAAAAGGCTAACTCTAGCACACAAATGCAGCCCCAGGGACACCAGACAGAGAGGCAGGAAAGTGGGCCCTGGCCTTTGGTGTGTTCGCCTTGGAACCCTCTGGAAGACCCTCCCAGACCCACTGCTCCTGGCTCTGCCGCCAGCACGTGCACACATGGCACTGACTTTAGCTGGGGCTCGCTGCTTTTAATTTTAACTTATTCTAAGGAAGTCTCGAGTACCTCGGCTCAGGAATTCTCATGCTGTGGAAGCAATGAAGCCCAGAAATGCTGGACTCCCTGCTCCTGGGCTGCTGCAGCAGGAGACAGGGCAACGTCCAGGGCTCGCTTCACTCATCCAGTGAAAAAAGATGCCCTCATTCTGCACATTGGAGAAAAACTTCCTAAAAACCTCCTCCTGCTTCTCTCCCCAAGGTTTTCAGGACTTTCAACCACATGTTGACATTAAAGAAAACATGCCAGGCTGGGTGCAGTGGCCCATACCTGTCATCCCAGCACTTTGGGAGGGTAAGGTGGGTGGATCACTTGAGCCAAGGATTTCAAGACCAGCCTGGGCAACATGAGAAAACCCCATCTCTACAAAAAAATACAAAAATTAGCTGGGCATGGTGGCTTGGACCAATAATTCCAGCTACTCAGGAAACTAAGGTGGGAGGATCGCTTGAGCCCAGGAATTGGAGGCTGCAGTGAGCCATGATCGTGCCACTGCACTCCAGCCTGGGCGAAAGAGACCCTGTCTTAAAAAGAAAAACAAGGCCAGGTGTAGTGGCTCAAGTCTGTAATTGCAGCACTTTGGGAGGTTGAGGTGGGTGGATCACCTGAGGTCAGGTACAGAGACCAGGCTGGCCAACATGGTGAAACCCTGTCTCTACTAACAATAAAAAAAAAAAAAATTAGCTGGGTGTGGTGGTGGGCACCTGTAATCCCAGCTACTTGGGAGGCTGAGGCAGGATAATCGCTTGAACCCAGGAGGCAGAGGTTGCAGTGAGCCAAGATTGTGCTACTGCACTCCAGCCTGGGTAACGGAGCAAGACTCTCTCTCTCTCAAAAAAGAAAACAAACAAACAAAAACAAAAAGCCAGATTGTAATCCAAGTGACTGTCCCCAAATATTGAAAATCACCAAATGGCCAAAAGAAACCCTGGGGTACTATGTAAAGGAGGAAATGCTGCTGAAATGCTTGGGAAGACAGAGGAAGGGAGTGAGGGGGCTACCTTGGTGATGCAGTCAGGGGACAGGAAGGAGTTTGCAGCTGTGACTGGGAGGCTGGGGGGAGCTGAGAGCCCTGCACAGGAGTCACAGGGGGCCGTACAACACGGGGCACCTGGCACGTGTCTGTGCCGGCAGGTGTGTGGCTCCAGAGAGCACCCCCCGCCATCCAGATCTACAAAGCCCACGGGCAAGAAAGGCAAAAGGAAAAAAACGTACTGGTAGATGTCACACGAAGAGGGGGCAGCGGTGGATGGACAGCTGGCGGATCTGACGAAGATCGCTGCCGGCTTCCACCGTCCACACTTACAGAGTTTGTCTTCCACAGGGTGTTAGCAGAGGAGGCTGTCTGAACTGAACCCACACGCATGCACACAGACGCATGCATGCACACACAAACGTGCACACACAAAACAAAAACAGAAACAGAACACTGCGTTATTGATCCTCCCCCTTATGAAACCATCAGTATGACCCTTCCACCTAGAACCCTGAACTGTTTTACTCCTGTTTACTTCTGTCTCTGGCGCGTGGAAGATAGACGCTGACACCTGCTAAACCAAAGTTGTTTCAAGGACTATTCTCAGTTGGTTTTCTCAATCTGTGAAATTTAAAAATTCCTGAGTTCATTTCTCAAATATCAGTATCATTTGAAGAGGGAAATAAACAGCCACAATGTTCTCTTGCGAGTTTTGCATTTGGAGCTTCTGAACTTTTGCTCCTCTCCACCCTCCAACCAAGTCCTTCCCGTGGGCCATGGGAGTCACCACCATGCGAACAGGAGCACTGTGTGCCCAGTCAGTGCAGGTGGAGGGCAGAGTGCAAATCAGACACTAGGGGAGGGGCTTTCTCTCCCTCCCACAGACATATTTCTGGCTGAAAGCAGACACAGATGATACCAATCAGGTTCAGGTGACCCACAAAAGAGATGGCATTTCCCAGGTCACAGGCCCTTCTTCTGCCTCACAAACGTCCAAGCTCAGGTGCCCAGGGCCCAGGTACGAGGTATGACCCCGTGTTTGAGGTTGTGCATGGCCCATAGGGCACGGGCTGGGCCTGGAAATGGGCCAGGCCACAGGGTCCAGAGGAAGCCTTCGAGCTCCTTCCGTGGGTAGCCAGGTCTGCCCCAAGTGCAAGGCTGACACTGTCAACTCCATTTGCTATTTTTTTTTTTTTTTTTTTTTTTTTTTGGGGGGAGTTTTTCTTTTTT